TATAATTGTTTATTTTTATAAATGTTTCATTATTAAATTAAATAGAATTTTTTTTTGTTTCATTTTATTTTTAAAATTTTATTTACTTGTCCTTTCTGAAAACGACGGTGGGCTTCACTCCATCCTCGCATCCACAACATCCTGCGTGTCATGTTTGACGTCACGTCTGTCTGTGACCTCCAACCTCTGCATGGACACAACATGCCTACATGGACTGGGGGGAAGAAAACTGGGAAAAAAACAGTCAGGCATCCTGTTACCTGCCTGTCCTGCTCTCTGACCATCTTGGTTATGATTTTTGAATGTCGCAGATGTTTGTGGATGTTCAGATTGTCTTTATTTAACATGAAATGAGCATGAAAAATAGAGTTAATCAAATTTGCAAAGAAAGCTGTGCTAAGCTAAGCTGGTTAGCCCTGCTATACAAAACACTGGACCCTTATCATCATCATGATACAGCTGGAAACAATTTACAACCAAAGACAAAGATTAGTGTTAACCGAGATTAGTTTGATAGAAAATGGTGTGAATATTGACCCAGAGTAGTGCTGTGAATAACAGTTATTTTCACTGCCAGTTAAATTATTAAGTCAAACAGTCAGGAGAAACTGCACCACAAGAATGAAAAAGATATATATATAGATAGATATCGTTGGCTTTCACAAGCTAAAAACAAATCTCATCTTTCAGGACTTAGGGAACTTCTTGTTAAATTACCGCTGCCTTAAGTATGTGTTTTTTAATCCAAATAATGAATGTTAAATATATTTGCAAAGTCACAGAATAGGGACAGAACATTTGTGCAAAGTGTTCAGTAACAACATGTTTCATTTGTGCACTAACTAAAGCTATTGCTAACTCAGGTCTTTTGTTAAGGATGAAAAAGGACACAGATTCTTTCCTGATCTAAAGTGTATCTTTATCAAAACCAACAGCTGAGACAAACTAAGCATTCCTGTGTACGGCAGCGTGTTGACGCCATGGTGAAACAAACAATTTGCTCTGTATCTTGTTATAACAAGAAACCTTTCTTGTTAAAATGAAATACTTTTCGCATTTTTACAAGATACTTTCACAAGACATTTCACATTATTAGGACATTTTATTTTCTCATCATCAGACTATTTTATTATAACAAGATGCTGTGATAACGTCATTGAAATATAGTTTAAAGTTTATGGCTCAAAGAATCTAATATGACAACACACACTCTAGAGTGGATCATGTCATTTCTACAGTTGTTCCTCAAGAACCATGTGTCATGCCGAGTTCTGCCTGCTGAGAGGCACATGCCCTTTGCAGGAGCATCGCAGAAGCGTCGTGCACAGCACTGGCTGGAGCACATCCATCTCAGCAGCCTAGCCCTCAACACCCTCCCAAGCCAACTTTTCACACAACAGTGCACTTAGGAGCTGCACTTCAGTTGGTCCTTGAGAGTCACTGACACACAAACCCATGCGCAATATTTACTTAAAAATGCACATGAATGCAGCTCATGAGCCACGAAACCTTGCACATCATGATCGTGTTACAGGCACTACTCACAGCAAGTAAAGTCAATGTGTACGCTGCTGGCACTCAGACTGTGCAGGTCAATGCAGAAATGATATGATCCACTCTAGTGTCAGTTACCATATCAGATGGTTCTTTGGGCCATAAATGTGAAATTAGGCTATGGTTACCATAGTATGTCCTCATAATGAGAAAATATACTGTTGTATTAACATGAAAAATATCCCGTTTCAATGTGAAAGTATCTCGTAAACATGAGAAAAGTATCTTTTTATCACAAGAACTGTTTATTGCTACAACAAGATACTATATTTTTTGCTTATGTTGGCAGCAGTGCGCTGCTGTACTAGTGAGTGCATCTGTTTCCTTGAACACATTTGTGTAAAGAAATTTGTTTTCTGACAGATAACCTCATTTTATAGGGTCGGCCTTACAATCACATGCAATTGCTGTGCCTTAAGAAAGTTACCAAAACTCGGATTCTAAATGTGCTGATAGACTAATTAAATGTCCAAGTGAAGAAAGAGGAACACTAAAACAAATTCACAGAAAGTCTTGTTTCTCCTCTCTCCTCAGGCTTCAGGTTCTGATGTTAGCCAAGTCCTATACTGAGGGTACAGTTAGCCAGGTTCAAGTTCAATAGAGCTCCTGCAGCATAATGAGCTAGTTTCCTGTTTGAGTCTTGCTAGCTGTGTGTTAGCGGTAGAGCAGCTTAAAGCCAAAATTGTTGCTTATACCCTGTCTCCTCTCTTCTTCTTCCTCTCTTTTATTGTTCTCTGTGTAAAGTGCCCATTAATGGTAAGTGGTTGAATTTGGGGCTAATGGGGAGTGCTCGTGGTTGGGGGGGTCACCACTGCGCATGGAACTACACCCACTATCTACTGTGATGTCATCAGTTAGCATAGCAATGCTTCATTTTTACCCTTCTGTGAAATTATGACATCACAATTCCCAACTCATTCCATCATTTCAACCCCAACCAATCAAGTTTCAGCTCTGCCCATCTGTCTTTCTCCGATTGGTTTCCATCATTGTTGTCGTGGGTGACTCATCCATCCGCTCAAAAACCGCCACCTCCATCACATCACCCATCTCCTCACCTTGGTTGGGCTGTTTGGGATACAGAGTTTTTGATTGGTCAGTCAGCCCCCAGGCTAGCCAATAAGAACAGAGTTAGAGAGTGTAGTGGAGAGTATGTTCGTTGAGTTTTTGTTGAAATGTTCACGTCAGAGTCCTGGATGGCTTTTCAAGGGTTCAGAGGATGATTAAAACCAGTTTACCAAAAGGTTTTTTCTGTTCCAGGGCTCTGAACTCTGCTCTTTTCACACTGTCGCTCCAGGAACCTGGACAACATCTGGACCAGTGCACATACAGTGGTACTGGATCTGAATCAACATCTAGTTTGTCTCTTCTGATAAATTAGGGTTTACCATCTGATTATTGATCCTTGATCAAAATTTACAGCAGCAGTGTGAAAAGACACCAGCACCAGTCACCATCCTCTCTCCAGCCATGTGATCTGATGTCACGTGATGTGTGTGCCATTCATCTGTGTTGTTATGGTAACAACATGGTATCCGTGGATGTGGACCAGGACTTATTGTCATATCGTTAACAGAAGAATGATAAGAAGTGAAATGGGATGTAAAGCTGAGCAGACCCTGTACGGTTTTAGCAATTTAGTATGCAGCATGGTTCACATTTAAATGTGCTTTTCTGCACGGCAATGATAAAGGAAGTGCTCTGGCTTTGTCCCACTGATTATTAGCCCTGGTTGCACTGTGATGGTTTTTGCGACATACCTTATTTACAACAGCAGAATGTCTCACAACAGACTGTAGTTTCCATTTCAGTCAATTTATGACATTCCATTAATCCACTTTCTGCCGCCTACCCGGAGTCAAATGGCGGTGCCAGCAGAATCAAGAACGTAGTACAGCTGTCCCTCTTCACAGCAAGTAAAGTGAAAGCACTTATAATGCAAGAAAAGATGCGAGGACAGACAAACTGAGGAAACACATTTTTAGATATGTGATGTCCTTTCCTCTGATCCTTCATCTGAAGCGTCCAGTCACCAACTGATATGCGATATAATAATGCGACAGTCCATGAAAGACTTGAAGGATGGTCTCTTGTGTCCTCGGTCATGTCTCCTCCACACAGCCCCTTCGCTCCTCGATCCTCTGACAAGCAACAAGGGAACTGATACATCTCTAAAGACTGCTGATCGGAACGACATTGAAATTAAGCAAGCATGAATCAGTTAACGAAGATGGGATGCACCCAGAGTCTCTCCAGGAAGATCTTCGTCTTCCGCTGGTCCTCCTACTGGCTGTACGGGCCTGCAAAACTTGAAATGGATTTATTCACTGTTATTAAATATTCCATAATCCATTAAATATTAGCCTGTATTTGATCAATACTTCCTGAATTGATAAATACTGTAGTTCCTGAATTTTTTTTCATAATAGAAACTTTGAGCTGAGGCTACAAGACTGCAAACCAGTTGTAGGTAACTTTTAACTTTCTCATAGTGAGAGCGACCAGACGTTATGATACAAATCTGCAAATGGAACAGAAAAAAATGTGGTCATTACGTCTGGGATGTTGGAGGGGTGGTGCCAAGATGTGGGATCTTAAATGGAACATAAACTCAGAAACACGCTGGTTTTGTTGTTCGCAGCTCCAGCAGCACCCGACCAGCTGGTGATGTGCTGCTGACAGAGTTTTATGGAAATCAAACCAGTATTTCAAGATAATCAACTTGATGCAAAGGAGCTTGGGCACTTCAAGGATCAAGCAGTTGATGAAAAATGAGGCGGAATTGTTTGTCTCTTTCTATAATGTCTCATTTAATCATTTTAGTTGTTCACTTTCAGGTTGTTGCAATGTGCGTTAGTGACTAAAAATGAAAATGCTTCTCAGAAAACATTATTATGGGTCATGTGTCTCTGAGTTGTCGTTACTCTCATATGCTGGAAGCTAACCTGAATTAGATTTTAAAAGCTCTTTTCAAATTTCATGATTTTACAAGAGATCTTCAGCAGTGGTGTTGGGAAGTCCGATCACTGCCATTGTTCCTTTGGGGAGTTGTTCCATGTGTTTCGACAACACCATCCATCCATCCATTTTCCTCCGCTTATCCGGAACCGGGTCGCGGGGGCAGCAGTCTAAGCAAAGATGCCCAGACTTCCCTCTCTCCAGACACTTCCTCCAGCCCCTCCGGGGAAATGCCGAGGCGTTCCCAGGCCAGTCGAGAGACATAGTCCCTCCAGCGTGTCCTGGGTCTTCCCCGGGGCCTCCTCCTGGTGGAACATGCCTGGAACACCTCCCTAGGGTTTCGACAACATTCCAAACTAAAACTTAAACTAACATTCAATCTGGTGTGAATTTGGCTGATCCAGGAATAATGTGGCGGTGATAAGTTCAGGCATAAAATGAGGTTTATTGTGTACAGTGTCTGCACAGAATCAGGCTTAAACAAAAGAACCTAATGTGAATTTAATCAAAATAGTTTGACCTAAACTATCATGAAAGAAACCAAATGTGATATTATGAAAAGCCTTAAAACTGTGGCTTCCATATCATACAGGTCTGACTCCTCGTGGCTAGCACACAGTGTTAAAGTAGTCCTGGGTTCTGACCCGGTTTAGTCTGGTCCAGTCCAAGCCATATCCAGATGTGATTCCGGTCCAGCATCATATGTTCATCACACAATGTCTCTGTCCTGCTGTGTGTGGACTACAGCTGCAACCTGATCTGTCCTCTCTCCCCAGATGACAGCCATACCATGACCAGTGAAACCAGTAGTCTGGTCCAGTCCCACTATAAGCAACGGGAGTCTGAGCGGGAGGCGCTACCCTATCAGACAGGTCAGTTGCACCCGGCCATCCGAGTGGCCGACCTGCTGCAGCACATCACCCAGATGAAGTGTGCCGAGGGCTATGGCTTCAAGGAGGAGTACGAGGTGAGGTGTCACTGTGTCATTATATATTATTATAAAAGGGCAGTTCAGCACAGTTTCAACCACAGTGTAACGTAAGCCAGTGAAATATGGAAAACAGCACATTCCCCTTGCTGATAGCTCATTAGAAACAGAAGGTCATGTCCCATGCAGCCTCAGGTCTTAAAGGGTTAAAACTTCTGCAGCAGTCCAGTGATCATCAGAGTTTTGGTTTTATCTGTATTTATGTCCTCACACTGATGTTTATTTAATGGATCTGAACCGGGGAGTTAGCACAGGAGTGACTGGTAGGTTCAGCCCTAGTTAGCAGCAGCAGCAGCGATTAGTAAGCAAGAACAGTCACACTGACAGCGTTCGCTAGCAGCAACGGTCTGGAGGTTCTTGTGCAGCTGCTGCTGTGAGGTGTGCGCGTGTGCCCATTTTTATCATGACAAACTTACTATTGGATGTTACTTACCTGAACACACAACACACATATATGTGTGTGTGTTCAGTGTTCTGGTTGCATGCTACCAGCTGCCCTCAGGGCTAATCCATTATACATACTGAGTACAGACACTCGGAGTATTTTCACTTTCCATTTGCAGAAAGTTAGCAGTGAGTTCTTCTTCCAGTGATTGTCTTGTTCTCATCTGTCTGTCTGTTACAACATAAGGCTGCAACATTTCCCACAACCCCTGTCCAGAGACCAGGCAGCACCAGTGAACGTGGTATCCTCACCGTAATGTGTACGAGTCTAGATCCTGGTCCAGCTTATCACTCTGTTCTGTAGACCTCCACTTTTGTACACCAGCTATTAGCGATGCAGTGTTGATGGAAACATGTTCCCAGCTGGAGACTGAGGAATATGATTCAAATGTTTTAAGTGCTGTGCACATACATCACTATCACTATTGTGTTGCATATCATCATTAACACTTGTGGCGGTCAGATGTTTCATTAATGTCAAATAACTTGTGGTTAATGGTTGTTTGGTGGAGTCGTGTGCAGCTCACATGCTCTTCATCCTGATCATTTCTCATTGTTGGCCTAAACAAATTAAAAGTCATGTATCGAACACTGATGAGGATTAGGGCCACATGAAAAGATGAAATGGTCAGGTCTCACTTGGATCTCAAACTTTTCAACATAAAATTCATAACTTGATTGTAAACCAGACCTGTATCCAACAGTGTCACTGCTCTGGTGACTGGTGTTTAACTTGCTGCACTAGTGAGTTGAGCTGATGAATAACGAACAGACGTTCAGCTGAGCCCCACACTGATGCTTGTTATCTCCCTGATCCCTCCATGCTTCTCCTTTACTAATTAATCTGATTGGACAGCTTAACGAGGTAAGACGCCTTCTTGGTTTTTAGATTGTTAACATGCTGTGTTCTTGTCTAACAGATTAGAGACTAGTTAACGTCTCACACACACACACACACACACACACACACACACACACACACACTAGCTGAATGTTTGACTGATGTCTCTAGCTTAGAGCTGCTAAGCCCCAGTTTGTGGCTCTTGTGCAGTAGTGTTACATTCAAGTTACAGTGGCGACTGTCTGATTTGCTATGATAAACACCCATCCAGAAAATCATGTAAAATTGCTTTTTTGTTATGGAGGTTTTCCAGAAATCCTCAAAACTCTTTTGTCCAAATGTTTCCAAAACTCTTCTCAGACTCTTCTAATCATCTGGACGAGCCCCAGACTTTTCTCACCATCTGTCTGGAACGATGTGGACGAACCGGACTTGGACTTCGTCCCCATGGCTCCAAACACTCTTCTAACCAGCTGGAGTTCTCACCTTCCTGAATATCTCAAAAGAACATTTTTCATCCTAATGGTTTTGAGGATTTCTGAAGCACCTTCCGAGGTGCTTTACTGTAGAGAAATAAAAGGTGACCTCTGTTTGTGAGGCACAAACTGGGGCTATGAGTCACCATGTTTCTGTACACTTCCTCCAGTGAGCTTCCAGCCCTCTGTAGCCAACAGCCAGACCAGCATGTTTGTTTCACAAGATGCTGTTTGGTTTGTGTGCTGTTGGATCAGTAGCATTTGAAAAAGGAAAGTGAACTGCCTGCATTTGTGCCCAGAAGTCCAAGAAGAACCTTGTCTGTGGACAGAAGGGCCAACCTGACGATCTCATGTTCTGTTTGGGTCCTGTTTGACCTTCAATCATTGTTTTCATGACTAATTTGGTGAGAACTGCTGTCACGTTTGACAATTTCCCTGAATACTTCCACTGAAGTGACTGGAGAACTGACTAATGATGTTCCCATCAGTCTCAGCTGGACTTCACTGCTGCTCAGCTAATGTTAGAATGCTAACATGTTCTCTGGAGCTTTATGCAGACATGACAGGACCTGATGGTTCTTGTGGTGAATTGGCAATGTACAAATATAATTGCTTAAAAAATGTATTGGACTGAAATGGAACAGGACATGCAAATAATACAAAACAACAAGAAAGCAACACAAAATGACTACTATGGCCCATAAACCATCTACAACTCAAAACCACAAGAGAGACACAAAATCACAGCAAAAAGGTGTCACTGCTGGAAAACGGTGGTGTGTATATGGCTTTGTGTTTCCTCAGTGGCTGAGTTCTTAAATCCTCATCTGAGCTGTGACCTTTGACCTTATCAGTGACTGGAGAAGTTTGCTGGTGGCTGAAGGTTACACATAGCATTAGCATCAGAAAGCAGCTGAAATGAAAAGCCTGTTTCAGAGAGTGGAGGCGCTGCCAGCTCCCGTTCTTTCCTCATTTATTTGTCTGCTCCCTTTGTTCCCAGCTGTCAGTCATGTTGAAGTGTGTGTGTGTGTGGGTTTGTCTTTATATACTTGTGCGAACCAACCCCTGACGGAACCCCTTTCTTGTGTGGACATTTCTTCTTGTGTGGACCTTTTGGGTGGTCCAAACAAGGAAAATGCTAGGAT